AATTCTAAGGAATCCACTAATATAGTAGAACTGATAAACAAGTTCAGAAGGTTGCAGGACACAAGATTAGTATACAAAAATCATTTGTATTCCTATATTTATAATGAAGAATCTGAATTGGAATTAAGAAAATAATTCTTTTATAATAGGATAAAAAATACATGTACTTAGGAATAAATGTATAAGTGTAAAACTTATACTCTTAAAATTACAAGACAGTGTTGAAAAACATTAAAGAAAAGCTAAATAACTACAAAAAAACACCCCATCTTCATGGATTGAAGGCTTACTATTGTTGAAATGGTAATACTTTCTAATTTCTACAGAGTCCGTGCACTCTTTCAAAATTTCAGATGGATTCTTTGTAGAAATTGTTAAGCTGATCCTGAAGTTTACATAGTAATTTAAGACAACTAGAATAGCCAAAACAATCTTAGGAGCAAAATTGTAAAACTCACACTTACAATTCCAAACTTAATATAAAGCTACAGTAGTCAAGTGTGTTAGTGTAGTACTGGTATAAGGGTATACCCATAGATTTTTGGAATAGAGTTTATTGACCAGAAATAAACCCATACATTTATTGTAATTGATGTTTGACATAAAGTGTGCCAAGAGAATTCAATGGGAAAAAATAGTTTCTTCAACAAATGGTTCTGTTGTTACTGGATACCCATATGTAATAGTATGGAGTTGGGTCCCTACCTTACACTATATACAAAAATTAATGCAAAATTGATCAAAGAACTAAATGTAAGAGCTAAAACTATAAAGCTTTTAAGAGATAACATAGGTTGTTAATGTTCATGATCTTGGATTAGGCAATGATTTCTTTTTTAGATGTAACACTGAAAGCACAAGGGACAAAAGAAAAATAGATATGACTTCAACAAAATCAAAAAGTTTGCATATGAACAGAAACCATAAAAAATGAAAAGACAACAGGAGACATTAATTGCAGATCATATACTCTGATAAGAGACTTGTATTTAGAATATGTAAAGAATTCTGCAGTTCAGTGGTAAAAAGATAACCCAATTCAAAATAGGCAAAAAATATGAACAGATATTTCTGCAGTGAAGATATGCAAATAGACAATAAGCCTGGAGGAGACACTCTGTAGCCCTAGCCATCAGGGGGATGCAAATCAAAAGCGCAGCAAGATACCACTTTATGCCCACTATTAAAGAGACAGGAACAAATATTGTGAGGCTGTGGAGAAATCGGAATTCTCATACATTGCTGGTGGGAATGCAAAATCTTTACAAAGCAGCTGCTTTGGAAAATAGCCTGGGAGTTCCTCATTGAGTTAAATGTGGTTTTACCTGAGAGAAATGAAAATATAGGTTTAAAAATACAAATATTCATAGAAGTGTTAATCAAAAATAAGAAAAGAAAGGAAATAACCCAAATGTCCGTCCACTGATGAGCAGACTAATAAAATGTTGTCTTATCCATCTGATAGGATATTACTTGATTATAATAAGGAATGGTCTGCTGATATATGCTAAAATATGAATGAGTCTAAAAATACGCTAAATTAAAAAGGCAGACACAAAGACCACATATTGCATGATTCTTTTCATCTGAAATTTCCAGAGCAAATAAATCTATGGAGCAGAAAGTAGATTAATTGGTTGCCCAGGACTGTAGTGTTTTGGGGGAAACTGAATGATACTAATGGATACATGGTTTCTTTGGGCAGAACAAAAATATTTAAAATGGCTTCATATTGATTGTATAACTCTGTGAATATACTTGAAGCCATTGAATTGTATACTTCAAACTGATGAATTATATAATTATATATCAATAAAGTATATTAATTATATATCAATAAAGTTCTGTCTATAGAAAAGATAGGTCTTGCAAGTTTAACTGTCAGCATTCAGTGGTGAGATACAGGGAGTTGGGGACAAGGGAGGAATTAGTAATGACTCCTCAATTTTGACCATGGCAACTTCTAAGAAGGAAAGATGGGGGAAGAAGTTTTTGTTTGTTTTTCTGTAGGAAGAGCCAACTTTGAAAATGAAGAGTCCTGTTGTGGGCATGAGTTAGCAGTATCTCTTAAACATCCAAATAGAGATATTAAGTAGACAGTTGAATGTGAGTCTGGAATTTAGGGGCAATCCTGTTTGGAGAGAAAATTTAGATGATGGACAAATTCCTAGGAAATGAGGAGGAGGGAGGGGGGAGGGAGGGAGAAAGAGAAAGAGAAAGTACATGTGTGTGCATGACTGTGTGTGTATGTGTGAGGCTCAGGATGATAGCCACAAAGAAAACAAAGGAGTGGCAAGCCAGGGAGGAAGGAAAGTAGAATTTGGAGGTCACTGAATTTCTGAAGAAGGGAGGGACCCATAAATTCAGGTGCCACTGAGAGGTCAGTAAGAAGAGAACTGCAGTGTCATTGGAATTGCCAAGATGGATATTGACCTTGACAAGATAGCTCAGCAGTGGAGACTCCCCATATCTAGAGAAGAATGTGAAGGGCTGAAAGTGGAGAGTTTCTTTAACTCTTTCTAGAAGCTTTTCTAGAACCACACTCAAATGAAAAATTGCTCTGGGATCTTTTCTGCTTTCTTGAAACACCCAAGTGCTGGTAAGAGTTTGAAGGCAAACTCTTTTTTTTTAATTTTTTATTAATTTTTTTACATCATTATTCATTTTTAAACAATATTTGCTTCCCCCCACCCCCTCAGGTGTAGTCCCCATAGCGTTTCCTTCACCAATGCACCCGTGCACCATCACCTCAGTCCCCTGTGCTCCTCCCTCCCTCCCTCTGATCCCTCTCCCTCCTCCTCCCCTGCAGGATGTCTCTGCTTTATAATTGTCTATTTTTGCTTTGTTGTGTTTTGTGCTGTTACTATTTCTTTACACTGATTTCTTATTTGATTCCCCTTTATTCCTCCTATAAGTGAAATCACCTGATATTTTTCTTTTTCCTTCTGGCTTATTTCACTGAGCATAATTCCTTCTAGCTCCACCCATGTTGCTGTGAATGGCATGCGTTTATCTTTTTTGATTGCTGAATAATATTCCATTGTGTATATATACCACATCTTCTTGATCCAGTCATCCATTTTTGGTTATTTGGGTTGTTTCCAGGTCTTACCTATTGTAAATTGTGCTGAAATAAACATAGGGGTACAGGTTGTCTTTTGAATCAATGTTTTTGTATCCTTTGGGTAAATCCCTAGGAGTGGAATTGCCGGGTCATATGGTAGCTCCATTTTTAGTAGTTTGAGGAACCTCCACACAGCTCTCCATAGTGGTTGGACCAGTTTGCACTCCCACCAGCAGTGTAGGAGAGTTCCTTTCTCACCACATCCCCGCAGGCATTTGTTTTTGCTTGTTTTTTTTGATATGTGCCATTCTTACTGTTGTAAGGTAGTATCTTGGTGTGGTTTTGATTTGCATTTCCCTGATTGTAAGGGATGTTGAACATTTTTTTCATGTGCCTTTTGGCCATTTGCATTTCCTCTTTGGAGAAATGTCTTTTAAGTTCTTCTGCCCATTTCTTGACTGGATTGTTTATTTTGTTTTTGTTGAGTCCTGTGAGTTCTTTGTATATCTTTGTGATCAGTCCCTTATCAGTTGAATGGAGTGCAAAGATTTTTTTCCCAGTCAGTGGGGTGTCTCTTCTGTTTCGGTTAATGTCTCTTTTGCTGTACAGAAGCTTTTCAGTTTGATGTAATCCCAGGTGTTTATATTTTCCTTGACTATCACAAGGAATCCAAATAGGGAAGGAAGAAGTAAAACTATCACTGTTTGCAGATATGATAGCTATGATAACATACCTAGAGAATCCTAAAAATTCCACAGAAAAACTACTCGAAATAATCAACCAGTTCAGTGAAGGCAAACTCTTATTGGTGTGAATCCTGCAAGTGGGAAGTTGCCAACTTGCCCGTGGTTGGGGTGGGGGGTGGGGGACGGGTGGGGCAGGAGGTTATTGCTAGGTCGGGATCCAGAGACGTGCCATTTTTTTTTTGCCTTCTGTGATTTCTCTCTCTCAAAAGGCGCAGATACAAGTGCCTGATGTGGATACATTTCATGAACCTCAAAAGCACATTGGGTGGGGATCTTACCATTCGCATTACTCATTTCTTTCTCCCAGACTTCCTCAATAGTTTGGATTGTGTGAAATAACTTTTGAGATACATGTTCCTTCAAGGAACAACCCAAACTTTACCTTCTGAGAAAATGGACTACTACTTAAGCTATAAAATCCATTCGATGTTTGGGGCAAACATCTTATTTTGAGCACAGGAATAGAGACTGTTATGTTGGATGAGTCCAAGCAGTGTTTGTTTTTTCTTTTACAAGATGTATGTGTGCTCGTGCTGCCTTTGGTGAGATTTTTAAAATCCAATGTTTTCTAACTGACTTGACATGACATTAGAAAAACATCCTTGCTTTCCAAGCCCTGGTTAAAAACTCCTTATAAGAAATTTTCTTGTGTGTGTTTAAAATATTTTTGTGTGTGTGGTTATTGTTGTTTGGTTGTGTATAGTTGTATATGTGGGGGCATATATTTGAGGGAAGAAATTTCATATTTTTAAAAAATATTCTTAATTTGAAAGAAGCATTTTAACTCATTCTAGGGCACAGATCCACAGGATTTTAAATTTATTACTATGAGAAAATGATATCAGTAGTGTACTTGACTAGAAGCTAGACTGCCATCCGTGAGGAAATCACTAGCTTAAAAGAAACCCTGATTTTAGAATCCTTTCAGCTGTCTTCTGCCCCAGGTTTAGAGATTTTATTAACTTCTGGCAACTTCCAATCACAGGATAATTAGAGTGGTTATGGGAGGAATCATTTGAACCTCAAGCTGTTCATTTGACTTCAGGGCCGTGCTAAAGGGCACTTTTAATACCTTGACTTTAAAAGAGAAAGTGATTGCACAGACTTTGGTCACTCTGTGCACTACTGTTTTTTGAAAGAAACCTGCCACAGGTGCTTATCATGACCCGGGACAGACAAGGTCAGTTTATAGCGTCTTCTGTTTTCAGTGAATTGGATATTAAACAGGTGCTACTGTCATTTCAGATCATTTTATGGAGGAGTACTGATTCAATTTTCTCTGCACAGGGTGGATCTGTGCAAATTACTTTGTTTCTCAAAAAATCTTGTTTATCTTGGGATGCAGCCAGGCCTCTAATGTGGGCGGTGTGTGCTGTCTCACAAACCTCAGGCCCCGAAGCCTGAACTTTGCTTTGTCAGATCAGATGAGTGCATGATACAGGCAGCTAGCCGCTGGGGGACTGCAGGGCAAATGTAAGAGTGTTGTCCCTGAGCCAGTGGAGACAGACACTTTGGGCAGATTTCTTTGAAATATGGCAGTCTTGAGGCCATGAAGAGAGAACAGAAGAGGACAGGTAAGGGACTGCTTGGTTTTCTGAAAGAACTCTATTTGGCTGCATTTGGAAACCTGGTTAGTATTTCATGGGCTCACGGGGACCTCGTGCTCCTGTTGGGGGGGACAGTGGAGGGGGGTGGATAATGATATATGGATGTTGATAATGTCCTTAGTTCAGAACATTTTAAATAAAAGTGCCACTAATCTGAATTTTTAAGCAGAAATATAGGACTTTTAAAATCCATTGTCCTATTTCCAAAAGCTATCCTGGCTCCCTAAATAGAAAACAGAACTAAGCACATAAAAATCCTAAGGGAATCTCTTTCTTTTGCTTAATCCTACTTAAGATCTGGGCCTTATTTGGAATAAAATTTACCATAGAATAGAAAACAAAAGCACGGAAGACTATAAACACACCTTTGGAGTTTTCTGTATCTTGCCTGCTTACAGCATGCACACCCCCCCCATCTATATTTGCACACAAAATAAGTAGCAAAAATCATGAATGTTAAACAGAAGGTCCAGTACAGTCAAGTAAGAGGTTGACTATAAATTGGAACAAGTCTTAACTTTTTATTTCACTTTCATTTGGATACTTTTACTAATTCTCTTTGCTGGGTTAGACTTTTCAAACATTCTTTGGCCCTGGGAGGGAATTGTATAACCATAAAACTTGAGAATCCTGGCTTTAGAATAAATGTTCCCTTAAAAACCCCAAGGACATAAAATTGAACACAGCTGTGCGAAAGAAAAAAGAAAAAGGCCGAGGGACGGTTCAGGGTTGCGGATGCCCGGACCAACCTTTCAGTGCCCTGCGCTGTGGTTTCTCCATGGGCGATGGGGAGCCTTGGTGTTCTTTGCGAAAAGTTTCAGGAAAAAGACCAAGACCTTCCTCCAGAATTGCATGTTTCTGTGATGTAACGACAAGAACTTTCTGTTTGACATTATGTACTGCCCTGCTTGTCTTAGGTATATTCTCTGGGTTTTCCCTGGAGAGGATTCTAGTCATTTTCTGAGATGCCATGATTCTATAAACCTAGTCCTACTCATAAAGAAGCTTCCAAACTTAAGCAGCTTATACCATAGTTGGAAGACAGAACAAACATGGATTACGAGCCCCAAATTCTCAGTCCTGACCCTCTCAGTCACAGAATTTCCCTCAGAATAAAAAGCTTTAAAGTGTGGTCCTGAGAATGTGGCACTGCAGTTCTTGTCTCCTCCCCTGGGAGGAAAGCCATCCTGTTGCCACGCTCGTTTCCCGGTGGGTCCTGCTGTTTGGTTTCTAGCCCACGGGGAGCCATCGCTGTGGACTCTAGCCTCTGCAGCCTGGGATTAATCACTTTGCTCTTTGTCAGACCGTATAATGATGATTCATACTTCTTCCTCTACAAGATTAGATTACTGTAATTTTCATATCCTGGACTGCCCATGAGGGATTTGAATTAATACTTGTTGGTATAGAAAGTAGTATCGTGTTTCTGGGGAAAAAAGACTGAACTTGCCCACTTGGCCAAATTAGAAAACATTTGGGGAGGGCCTATCGTGAGCCTGACTCTGAAAGTAATCCTGCCTTTGGGGCTTGGCAGGGCAGTTAGAAGATCATAAAGGCTGCTGGGTGTGCCCTTGAGCCAGGTGCAGTGGATTTGCGTGAGTGATGCCAGGCTGAAAAGATCTGAAGCAGGGAGGCTTTTGCAAGGCAATAATTGTATTGAAATCAGGCACTGCTTAGTGGACAAAATCTTCCCCACAGAGGTATTTAGGAAAGAGATGAACTTGTTCAGGTTTGTGGAATAGTCTACCCAAAGCCAGCCAGGATTCTGAACACAGATTGGAGGTGCAATATGAGAGACAAAGTCTCCTTGAAAGCACCCCATGTTTTGGTACTTTCCTTGTAAAATATGTATTATTTGTTCTTACTCCCTCAGCAAATATTTATTGAGTTCTGACCATATCCTTGGCGCTATTGTAGGCACTGGGGATGGACCACAGTCTACAAAACAGACAAAAACCTCTGTCCTCACAAGCGCTGGTCCTGTGTCACGTGGTGACGGGCAGGGGTAGTGGATGGAGGAGGGGTAGGAATTGGGCTGCAGAGAGCCTTAGGGGCACAGCAGGTCCTGAGTAACATCATTTCATTATAATGGGATGAGAAAGAAAAATCCCGGCTGACATTGAACTAAATCATATTGTTCAAGGATCTGCTTCCTCTATGTCATTTCTTTAGAAATCATAGCATCCAAGAGCCTATTGATGCTTTCAGAGAGGACTTGCTGGCATTGAGAAACTGAGTAAGTGTAGTTCTTTTTTTTTTTTTTTTTTTTTTGTGGGACCCTCACCGGTGGCGGGAGATCGAACTGCAGAGGCTGCAGGCAGCCCCGCAGCCCAGTGCTCAACCGCTGTGCCACCAGGGGAGGCCCAAGTGTAGTCCTTTTAATAGATTTTCTGAAAAGAATTCTTCATAGATGCTAATAAATAGTTCACTTTGGTATAACAAGTCCAACAGTTAACTTTAGGATGTTTGAAGGCATTGTTTGCTCTAGTCTGAGGTGAGGTGTGATCAAACGTTGCTGTCTGATTACTTTCTACTGTTGTATAATGAACAATTTTTACTCCAGGATGTTTTCTATTAACATACTATTTCTCTCTTTGGAGTCCAAATCATTTTCTCCATTTTTCTTTGGTGAATGAGATATTGCTTCACCTTAGAATCACGGAATCTCAGTTTTTAATCCAGACCAGCGAACCCAAGTTTTCACCTATCCTAGAAATGAGAAAATGAAGTAAATGTTTCATGAAACTAAAAAACAAACAAACAAACTTGTTCAGCTAATTCCTGTGTCTTTCCGTTATTTTCTTTTCTTGAACCTTTCAGTTTTTACATCTTCAGTTACTCAGAAATTACTTATCCTCTTGAGTGCAGCCCCCACCCCTCACCATGCTGCCCACCCTTAGCTCCCACCTATTCTCTCACACTCTGGTTTAGAGGTGCCCTCCTCAATTTTGTTGCTCCTGCCCTCCAAACAGGAGTCGCTGCCTAAGCCTTAGGATAGGGAGCCACTTCCTGTGCACCAGGGAGTGTGTTTTTGAATCCCCCACTTGTGGCTGTAGATATATTGTAAGCTATGACACAGAGTGGTTCTGTTTTGGGGGGTTATTGGCAATGTCATCCTACCTTATTACAGGTTTATCGGGCTTTTGTGGGTTGACCCAAGTTTTACAGCTATGTTTCTGGAGGAACATGGAAATGAAATCTACAATGGGACCTGTATTGAGTTGTGGAGCACATGCACTGAGCTCCCAACCACAGGCGTGTGGTTTTCTTGTTTGGTGGATGCTGGGAAAACATGGTCACAGAGAAAGCTGCCCAGGCCTTCCCTATCCCCAGTGTATATGTGAGGTCCAGATGTTGCTCGTGGTTCTTCTTTGTGACTAGAGTGGGTGTTTGCCATTTCACACTACTCTTGAAGAAGAACCACAGGCAATTGATGTTTTTCATCAAGAGTGAGAATTCTGTATTCCTGGTTGATGATTGGGATCAGCAAAGGAAATCAGACCACTTGCGATGCTAAGTTTGTGATGTCAATAGCTTGGACAGGAGAGCCTCTTGGGTCTTCTCTGTGCAGGAGGACCTCCCTCCCTCCGCCAGCTGTGTGGCTTTAGGCTCATGTTCCCACTTGAAAATCAATCCCTGTATTTTTGCCATGCCATCAGTTGACATAAATCCCATATTTTAAAAATATATAGCAACCTAGATGGGACATGTCACACTCTGCACATCTCCAGTTACTTTCAAGGCTCTGAGTCTTGTGTTCAGGAATGTGATGCTGGTCCAGCCTTGTGAAGGCTGGGTCCCTGGAGCCAGGAATCATAAAACACGGTTCAGGCTGCCCCCTGACAAACTCACATTTCATTTTAACTGTGAGGCCAGTGGTTCTGTTCCTGCTGAGCATTACTCCACACCCATTTCTCTTGAAGCAGCAGCAGCCTGGGAGAGAAAAGTTGGCTTGCTCATTTGTTGTTCAAGCCAATGACCTACACATGACCTTGGGACTTGAAAGATTACCATCCAAAGCCAGTGAAGTTCTCCTTAAGCTTTGAGAGAGACAGATTGAGTGAGTGAGTGAGTAGGTTTATCTGAGAGAGGGAAATCTGTTTGTTGAAAAGTACTCCCATTTTTTCCTGAGTTAAAAAAAAATCTACTTCCAAATAAATGCTTGTTCATTTCTCACACTCATACTGGGATATCAGTGTAGATATTAGGAGACTGAAGCATATCCATGTTCACCCATAGGTGTCAGAGTCCTAAGCTTATTGAGACTATGGGGAAAAAGAAAGATTTCCACATCTGGTCCTATTATGCAGACATTAGCACAGAAAACCGATCTGCATTAGCTAGTTTTTTCATCTCCTGGAGACAAGCAGCTTAAGAAAATACTTGTGGTGATTGCTGTAGTTCATTGCAATTTATAAAGCAGAACTTTCCATAAGGCAGAAGCAGCTGGTCAGAGAGCTTTGTTAACTTGATTTCTCTATACTGACTGTTCTGGGCAATGTTCTGCCATCATCCTTACTCCAGATATCTTTTATGGGAAGAAAAATGGATAATGAGGCTCTTGTCCAAAAGTTAACTGTAATATCTATCTTCTGCCTATAAAATGAGGCGCTAACTTGTCATTCTTTTGCCAACTTCAGACGTATAAATATTGATTAGTCAAATCTGAAAAAAAGAATATTGTTGTTGAGTTAAAATGATAAAAAGATATCTAGCTCAAGTTATTTTGATTCTGGTGTTCTTACATTTCTAAAACTTTAATTCATATCTAGAACATTTATTACATTTATCAAGTGGCAGATATGCTAGGTTATGGTGCTAGAGAGATGATAGAGTTCTGCTTATGGGCGCTACCTGTCTAGAGGTTAGAGATTGTAGACCATGTCAGGGAAGGGTGAAATAAAGTCAAATCAGTATTGAAAGGTGATTAAAGGTTTTCTGAGTAACAAGGAAGGAAAGACATCCTG